ATTTGTCTTAAGTCTTCTTCCTTGAGAGCTTAAGAGAGGCAGGTGTAAACAAATTAACCTGCTCCCTATTTTTGATGTGTCCATTTTACTCCTGACACTTGCATCACCTCATCGCTATGTTCTTGATCTTGACCACTAGACATCTCTTGATGAAGCCTAAAGTTTCTAAAGTTGCTTTGCAGTTCATCCTCAGTTTGTGACCCTGCAGGCCCAAATCTGGCTTCTTTTATGTTTACTGATACCCAATATGCCTCTCCATTCTTTTAAGAGCCTTTGATTCAAAATGCTTGCACTCTTGAAAATCCTCCTCCTAGTATCTGCTCAATGTTTCAGTTTTATAAGATCCGGAATTTTGACATTGTCACCGAAGGCATTTATCATTCCCCTATCTTTATACATATATGATCATTATATTTTCTAATCTCTCATCCAAATAATTTATAAGCACAGCAAACTATGAAACATGTAAATTGGAGCCTATTGAACTGTCCTCCCTTGAAGTAAAGCCACATTTCGGCACTCCTTGGGATACAATTGTTCAATGAAGCCTCATAGTTGATCCAAGATGACGTAATCTTGTTTGGTAGAATCTTATGGGAGACTTTAGTGAATATTTTGCTGAAATCAAGATATACTTCCCTTATATTTCCTCTTGTACAGATAGTCTGTCAACCCTGTCTAGATATGAATTGCGTCTTGATGGATATTCCTAGGAAACTATAATTTAAGTGTAGTGTATATATGCATGTAGATATGCATAAAATATTAATCTGAATTTATGTATATGCTAGTTCAAAACACAACAGAAACTTTTTTAAAACATTACTTTTATTTTTCATGCTCCTCAAATAACCTGTGGACTATTTAGAAACTGGAAGGTGAAATTCTTCTGCTTGAGTGAAAAAATTATGAAATGGTATGCTTCTAGATTTCAAAATAGCAACCTTCTATTTAAAAGGCACATATTATAACCATTGTGCTATTACAGAATTCATGGCAAAAGTAGTTTTAAAATGTACCAGATACTATGATAAACAGCAACTTAGTTGAAGAGTCATACCTGTAAAGTAACCAATTAATAGTTGGGGTTAACCTGCAAAAAACTGGACTATACTATGATAAATGGACAGGAATACTTATCAAAATATAACATGGATAATTTTGCTTGGGAATTGGGAATAGCAAAACAAACTAGCAGGTTGCTTTGAGTGTGAATGAAGGATTAATAGAGGGTGATGTGTTTCTGCCTGTCAGAAATGGTAGTTAGACTGTTCTTGTGATGGGCCAACCAGACAGAGTGAGTAAATATTAATAAAGGACTGTAGGAACTGTTAAGTTGCCAATCAATATTGGCCCTATCTTCACAGAATGAATATGGGGTCTATAAACTATTTTGTGTATTTGAAAATTAGTATTTTAAAGTTGTGCATGCTTTAGAAATGTTTAGGAAGCCGTGCTTTTGAATTTATAGTGGAAGCATAGCACCTCCTTGATATCTTTAAAGCAAACTTCTATTTTTCATGATTTGATTAAGTCTGGAAAAAAGTGATGTTGGTTTAAGAGTTTCTTTGTGGAATTTCCCATGGAAGCCTACAAAAAGATGTGGCTGTTTTAAAGAGTAGCAGAGAACTCTTCTTGTGTGAGGTTTGGACCACATTTTCTGAACAATTTTCTATGTATACACTCCCTGATCCACAATAATTATCCACTTATACAAATGCATACATATAAAGAACATGTGCAACTTTATGTATATACTATATATAGGTTAACATTTTTCTTTCTCATTCTTTCTAATGCAATCCCTTTATTTTTTATTGATGTGATACCAAAAAGTGAGAAAAAAATCTAGATAGTTCAGTTTCATTTACTCTCTGAACATATTCAAGCATTTACCTTAATCTGTAAGCACTTAGATCTGTATAAACAATGACATTTTCTGTATCACCATGCTCCTTAGTCACCCATGAATTTTTTCACGCCTCCTGGATCAAAGCTTGGAGGATGGAAACAGACAGTTTTAAAATCCTGAAGTGAATAATATTTGTATAATTTTAATGGTAGACATTACCATCTTTAGGATTATTTAAAACCCAAAAAATACCAATTGAAGCTGAGTGCCAATCTGAATTTTTAATTCTTAAAGTGATTAAATTGGATGGCATGCACAAAGTAGTATTTATATTTGTTTGCAATATTTTTAATAATGTTTTAACGGGTATAGTAAAAATAAATACAAATTAAATTAAAATAAAATATAAAAGAAAGAAATTTAAAAAGTGCAAGAGAAAGAAAAAAGAGAAAAGAGAAAAAGTAAAAGAGAAAAAAAAGGAGAATGAAAGAAAGGCAATAACAATGAAGCGGCTTCCAACCTTCATCGCACTGAGCATAATCTAACATCATGACTCTTCATCCTCTCTTAAAATTAAAAGCATATTCGTCTTTTCCCATAATTTAACTCATATCTATACACAATCCAGAAATCATCTTTTCAGTGTTGGTTCAGCAAAAAATCTATTAGAAGCTAACAGAAATGTCAAATTAATAATTTATCCCTAATCAAATAATCCAACTTCCACACACTTTTCTTTTGTGCTTCACAATTTTCATCTTTAATTTATTCCACTGGTGTCTCAATGTTAGGCCTTTCAGCAATCTTTGGCATTCCAAAAATTTTCAACTCAATATATATTTCAGTCTCATTTAACACAAAATATTATTCCCTCAATAATATTTATGTATAGAATCAGTGAATGGTTAACAGTACATTTCTTATCAGCAAAAATCTTTAAATCTTTACTCTAAATCCTGGATTTCTGATCATCATTTAGGACTGATTGAACTGTCCTTTGCTGCATGGTCTTTGCTGCATAGTCTGCTTAGAAGGGAATGGATAGCTCTGAGTGGTGTGTTACAGAAATTGTTTAAGGTATTTGTAGAAAATCAGATTTTTCTTTTCATAACTACTCTGTATGAAAACATACAAAATGTCCACCTTGTGTATTATAAACTGTCTTTAAAAAGTCTAATAAAGTTTGCAGGCTTTGGCAGGCTTCTAAGTTAGATTTATAGTATAGTGAAATATGGAATTTCCATCATTCTTCTTTTTTTCTAATCTCCCCAATGACTTTTTTGTATGTGAGAGTTTATTTTCATGCAAAAAGGAAAATTCTTATTTTTGTGCAGCTGAATGTAAACAAAGGAACCTACATACCAAACAAAGGAACAAAGTTTTCAATTTATTTAAAGATCTAATGTTCACATATGCTTGATTTTTTATCCTTTAATTTTATATGGATATATTGGATCTATAGTATATATGATGTAGTCTTGATATGGATAAATTGTACCATTTTCTGGGATTTTATATGGACATAACTGACAGTTTGCATAATTCCAGAATTTCCATATTTACAATATGTGGATTGAAAAAAAATCTCAAAAGTCAGCATGGGAGTTGGAGTTCATGTATCTTAAATTGCTTAGTTTGAGAAACATGGGTTTAGAGCACAACAACCTACATGTAGATAGAAACTCCACATGATCATTACAATTCATTCAAAGACAGGTCCTAGGAAATATATAGGATTGCAGTCTCTCTTGTGATCCTTTCTCTGGGTTGTTAACTAAATATTGTATTTTATGTAATAGCTGTTTTTTGCTATAGCCTTACTTAGTCAGTGACTTACTTTGGAACTCAGCAAGCAAACATGCATACAAATATTATTCCTATGATTTCCCCCTTTGTGTTTATATCTGAAATAAATATTCTTGTATTCTGGCACTACTAAAGAGGGATACCATAAAATAAGAAGAAATTTTAGACATAGAATTAATGGAAATAGAAAAATATTGTAATGGAAGTAGAAAAGTATTGTAATTTGCAAAGAAACAAAAATGCATGGAATTGCCATAGGGATATTTTAATACTGACATTGTAGAAGGTCAACAAAAATGAAAAAAAATCTGCTGTGTTTTGCAACATAGCAATATTGATTTCTAGGAGCTTAAATGAAAGATCTAAGGTAACTTTGAATGTCATTGCTCTATTCTCAGCAATGTTGTCAAAATATAGATATACAATGTACATGCCATGGTTTTACCTGCTACTAGAAAAAAAGTGCAAAACTCTGCTTGCACATTTGCACTGGGGATTGCAGAGGAGTAAAGAATAATTATGTCAAAGGGTACAAGCCATAATGATTAGAGAGAAGTCCAGTATTTAGTGATAGTCTAGCAAACAGATAGCAGGCCATTACTTTCATGTCCTATGTGTCATGCCTTTTGATTGTCATGCCTTTTGCATGAAACCTGGAAGACATCTAACCAGATTACTACTAAAAACAAAGATGGACTAGAAAGATTTTTGTATTTATTACTTTGGCATCAGTGTCTATCTGTATATTCTACAGTCCAAGGATGAAGAATGTATATCTCTCAAGATATAGAGTGCCTCAGTTCCAGCCAGCATGGTCTATAGGTAAGGGGAGGATTACAGATTATTTTATTATCTGGGAAAAAGAAAGAGAACAGCAGTTTCACTCATCCCCTGTGCAAAAAGAATGAAACTGGCAATTAATTTGTTCTCTAGCACTGGTGTAATAGAATGTCCATCACTATGTTGAGAGTATTACATTAACTTCAGCATGATCTGATGCGACACATTTCTTTCCTCCAGCAACCTGTGATATTTATTTCCTGAAATGCCTAAAAGATGATAGAATGGTGTTTCAACAGGATTTGAAATACCACAGGTTTCCCCTTCATCTTATATGAAAGTTTTAACACTGGACAGCGAGGGCATTGCTTCATATTCTATGAAAGGTTAACAAAGCCAGGAAAAGATGCATAGAAGTCTCAGTAGAGTATAAAGAAACAAAATCAGTTAGCTTGCTGTTTTTTGCTCCATAGAAATAAGGAGAATTGTTCTGCAGCCACCCCCTTCCCATTGCCTTATTCTTTTAAAATCTGGTAATTGAAAACCTATCTTGTTCTTACAGAACGGTTTTGCTATTGTGAGACCCCCAGGCCATCATGCTGAAGAATCAACAGCCATGTAAGTACCAGGGAATATTGCCCATCTTGGAGTGCTAGGGTTACTGGCAATCACCTGTACTGTGGGTGTCTCAGTGGAGCTCTAATTGTTAGCAGATGACTGAAAAGGCTTTCGAGATCATACAGCTTTTTTATAACACACACACACACGCACGCACACACACATACACACACACTCCTAAACATTATTTATAGCTGTTTCCTGACCAATGTGCTTTATAAAATTTCTGTTCTTCTCTATTCCACAGGGGGTTCTGCTTTTTTAATTCGGTTGCAATTACTGCCAAATACTTGCGAGACAAGCTAAATATAGGCAAGATATTGATTGTAGATCTGGTATGTATTCTTAACAAGCATCATCGTTTTAGTGCATTTAGATAAAGGGGGGAAAGAGAGGAAGGGAGGAAGAACAAAACTGTGCATTTTCTTCTTTACATTAATCTTTTCTGCTTTTACTACTTAGAAGTAATAAAGGTGTGCATTCTTCCTTTGAATTTGGGAACCCATTAAATTCAGGATTGCAGGACTGAAACCATAACATGTATGTTTCATTCTAATGGTGTTAACTGCAATTTTAAAGAGAAAAGGAGTAGATCAGGGTGACTTTTACTGTTCTTAAATGAACGGATTATTCCACTATTGAAATGATTTAACAGGTACCCAAGTTTACTTTCCCATGCAGAATATCAATTTGAAATAGTTTAATTTAATTGCATGTTTTTTGTTTGGTAGAAAGTTTGATTTTCTTTCTTAAACTGACAATAATTTGGCATGTTTTGCAACAGTCATATACTTGAAACAGAATACTATTTTTCTCTAAAATATTTCCAAAACATGTATACCAATACATGATGGCTTTCATGCAGAAATATACTATTGAATAGTATTTATGTTTTAAAAAGGCACTCATTGTGAATTAATTTTATCTATTAATAAAAACTGAAGTTCCAAACAATTTATTAAGTGAAATGCAGTTGTCATATGGCATCTTGTTTATATACTCTACTCATGAATAATTAATTGGGCTTTGCCTTTTACTTAAGCACCAACTTTATCCACAGCCCAAAGGAAAATCCAAAGATTGATTTATGAATACCATTTTTGTTTTTCCTGCTCTTCAGGAGGAACAATGCAATAAGACTGAAAAAGCATAGGCAAGAAATAAATCTTGGCAACCTAATCTAACCTGCTACATTTAATTAATTTTTGCAGGTAATAAAAATTTAAATACACAGTATATGAAAACTATGAGGTTGTAATAATCTAAATCTTACTGATATCAGAACTCACAAAATAATTATTACTTTAAACTCATGGATTTAATATATATTAATATATAATAATCCAAATGTAATTTACACAGTTAAAGACCGTACAAGAGAATTCAGACTAACATTTAATTTTAGAGCTGTAACATGAGCATTTGAATTATACACAGGAGTTCCATTTCAACCATCAGTAACAAACCAGCAAATAGTGAGACCTTGAATGAATTTAAATTGATCAGTTAGGTTCCAGATAGTATAGTCACCGTCTTTCCATGAGTGCTTCCTTCCTTTTTGTCCCATAGAGATTTTCTTCTAATAATGCCAGTTTCAAACACCAATACACCAGTACTGTTTTTGGAGACTTCAAAGAGCTACTTAAAAGAAGGTTCATGAAATCATCAGAAAGGGCCACAAATGGTCTGGGAAGAACACTAAGGTCTACTGATAAAATAAAAGGACCTTGCAGAAAAGAGCAACAGCATGCACCATATGGTCTGTGAAGAATGACTCCAGCAGGCTGAGTGAATTGATGCTAAGAAGAATAAGGGCGGCATATAAATTGAATTAATTAAATTAAATTAAATTAAATTAAATATGTGAAGTCAGTGAGATCCACCAGAATCAAGTAACTAGAAGAACTGAAGATGACATAATTGTTGTGCAGACAACTTAATTGTTAAAAATCCAGTCTAATCATTTGAAATCCAGTCTGTAAAATAAGACCAAAACTTCTTATGCAAAAAGTTTATATGTATACCCAGGTCTTTTTATGACAGATACATGAAACTACAAATGATAGGATCATAGATATCAAGAGACATCTGTAATTAAACATACTGTATTAAACTTCATAAGCAAAGCAAAATTATTAAATAATTGACAACACCTTTATGGGCAGCCCCTGTGTCATAGTTAACAAATTAATACTGATTTATTTATATCTCACATTTATTATTTTTAATAGCTCAAGGTGGTGAACATATCCAACACACCTTATTTCTCCTATTTTCCACACAACAACAACAACTCATTGAGGTAGGTTGGTTTGAGAGAGTGCAACTGGCCCAAAGTCACCCAGCTGGCTTTCTTGGCTAAAGCAGGACTTGAACTCATGGTCTTTCTACTTTCTAGCCTGGTGTCTTAACCACCAGACAATCTGGCTATATTATTTAATATATTACATAACCTGGATCTTTATATAATATATTCCTGTATACAGTACATTCTGTATAGATGTAGCACTATAAGAATAAATGTAAAACCCATTGCAGCATAATCAATACATAGATTCGTGGCAATAATTATCAATAATTCATCTGTCTTGAAATTCTTTGCCACCAATATCCAACAATAGCATACAGAGGAAGCACATTCGGATGGAAAAACTAGTGAACAAAAGCCATGTGGTTAAACAGCCAAGTAGTACTGTTTACTACCCTTAGCACAGAACCAAATTGTCATAAAGAAACCACAGAACTCTTCATGCAGATCATGAATTAAGAAAGTGGGCACTGACATTGCTAGCAACTAACTTCCATTGGACAAGTGCTTGGATCTATTATCTTTACAAAATGGACATCTTGAATACCATCATTCTTTTGCTTAGTGATCAAATGCAGGAGTTCAATTTTTGAAGTAGTTTTGTTGACCAACAAAATAAATATGAGCATGGACAATACAAGTAAAAATATTAAAATCCCACTGTGGAAACAATTAGTATTATTCTTCATGTTGTACATTCAGTCAGCACTGTGTGTGATTGTCTCAGGTGTAAGGAAAAGCAGAAACAGCAACAAGAAAATTAGAGAGCATAGCAAAGGACTAAGTAGGAAAGAATCATACAGGAGATAATGGGTCCAAATCTTGTCAATTTAATGATTAATAAAATGTTACTTCTGGAATCTGATAAACCATAATTGCTTTAGAAATAAAGGCATGCAAAATGAATTAAAAGGAACTATACTTCTAATTCCACACAGTAATTACCTTATTCTCACCCATGGGAGATGGGTGAGAGGAAAAGTGGTGGGGCATCCAATCTTTCTTGCTTGGTATGTGTGGCGCTATTCAAATTTGGGGAAAGATGACTTCAGAGAACCCTGAGAGACAACTGCTTTATCTCTTTATTACAAATGCTGTTAGAACATTAATAGTAAACTATTAAAATAGCTTCTGGGCACAAAATTCAGAATGTGTTATGAACAGCAACAAACCCAGTCCACAGCTTTTATTTCTGCTGTTTATTTCATGAGAAGATAGTTAAGTAGGGGGATAGACTTGCAGCTGGCCAATATATATGATAACAGGTATACTAGTGTCCATGTTGAAGTGAGGAACTCTGCAGACAGATCATTATAGCTCTAGGTTCAGGAATTGTAGATGGCTCAAATAGACTATAGAATGCTCAACCACAAAAACATGGTATTGTATACAAATGGTTCCAAATTCTATTGTTATCAAACCAGAGCTATAAATGCAAACATATTTCCCTACACATTATGAAGTATATAATCATAATTATTTGGCTTAAACTTCCATATGGCCTGCATAATACCCCACATAATAATGTGCCATTCCACTATTGATTGAAGAATGAGTGTCAATCCTATCTTCCAATTTCAGCTGGGGTTAGGAAAAGAAAAAGCAAGGTTAATATGCAGCAATAGGATTCTTTTGTTGTAAAAATAAATTCTTGGTTTCATGGATTTTGGTTTAATAAATTTCATATTTAAAAGCCCTATTTGCTGAATGAGATTTGCCTGAATTTTAGAAATAATGGATTTAGTTCAGATAATCCTGTTTTTTCCCCCAAAACTATATTCACTACTACTAGTAGAGAACGTTTTCTCCTGACAATTGTGCTTTTCTGCTGAAAAGCTACCATTTATTGAATATTAGGGTTTAATGGACATCCATCCCTTGTTAATCCATTCAATCAAGGATTAACTGAAATTTATATTTGAATTACTGCTTTATTTTTAATTAGACAATTGCATTGGTTTTTTTGGTCAACTTCTTCTGAATGCGCTTTAACTCTCAAAAAATGGTGCAAAATAAAGAGCAGGTAATGCTAATATTGATTTTAGAAAGCTATAGTTATATGACTATAGATATCCCTTGCCCAGATTTTTTTAAAAATACAATGGTTGGGAGATATGCTGCATTACTTTCTATTTTTTATTTTAGAATTATTTTATTTTTATTTTATATACCAACACATATGAAATATTTGAGTTAGCCTTGACAATTCTTTATCTGTCACAGTTTGTGATTATGAGCACAAGAAATGAGTAGCATAGTCAGATTACCTCAGTTTATTTTCCTCCTTTTGGTCTCTTGGGATGGAAAATCCATGGCCCTTCATATCTTCTTGGATGTTAATTCTTTAAGGCACAGCCAGCAAGGCCAATGGTCATGGATGACTCAAATTATGATCCAACAACAGCTGGGAAGCCATAGATTCTCCCATTCACTTCAACTTTTTCCTGTTTTTTTAAAAATTGGAGTAGGATTAAACTTTGAATAATAAATACCAAAAGGAACTAAGGCATTCTTATATTACAGCTTTTCTCAATTTAGTGTTTCTAGGCTCAGTGGGCTATACCTTCTATTATTAGCAACTATGGCTACTGGAATTGGTAATCCAGTAGTAAATTAGTACTAGAGAATAATTCAGTGGTCAATTTGCTGTGGATGTAGTAATCCAATAACTCTGGAAGGTACCAGTTTTATAAAGAAATGACACAATAATTTTGAGTGTTAAAAAAAGCCACATTAAGATAGAACTTCGTCTGATCTGTTTCTGTTATTATGGATATTTTTCAGCTTTGGCATATGATCAAATTTACTGAAAACTTCAGGTCTCATCCTCAGTCTTTAACTGTGATTAACTGTGATTTTAAAAAATGTTTAGGTAAATTAGGTAATACTTAAATTAGGTAATACTGTTTCCTGTTATTTATTTATTTAAACAAATATTTTTATACAGTTATCCTTCTTATCATTTTTAACCAGGTAGCTTACATACAAAATTAAAACTAAAAGAAAATTCAATTTAAATAATATACA